AAAAAAGTCCGAACCCAAAGTATGATATTCGAGAATCTTCATAAGTAGTGCTTGTGAGCCTTCTTCTTAGCCTCACTTCTTATCAGTGCCCACTTCAAACTTTATGTCCTAATAAGGAATGACTATGGGACTAACAACTAAACTGATCTGAATTCCCCAAACATACCACGCAGTTGTGCAATGCCTGGAATGACCCCCACCCAACATCTTCATCAACCAGGCAAACCTATTTATCCTTTAAAAGCCACAAACATTTCATCCTCTAGGAAGGTTTCCCAAACCCAAACACCTCCCCAATATCCATCCCTGCAAGCACCTTACACATAAACACATACACACTCCTTTATTAACTCTTCTATGTCTTTCCTCCTAGAAGTTTCTCAGTCCCTTGAGGGCAGAGCCTTAGATTATTCATCTCTACACCCTTTGTGTCCACCCTAGCACCATGTGCCTACCTTAGAGTAGGCAGTAGGTATTCAACAATATTTATTAAAGTGAGTTTAAACACACTTTAGGTAATATGCAGAATCCTAAGCAAGACTGGAATTTTAAAAATTCAGGTTTTAATTATGCTCATTTCAACCATAAAAAAAAAAAAAAAACCCAAACACTCAAGTTACCTTAACAAGAGGGTTGGGAGTTGTATTAGAAAGCTATTATGGACCTCCAGGAAGAATTTTTTCTGCAGAAAGCTGCTTCCTTCTCCTCTGCTTTCTCAGACCTGACGTTTGCACAGGGTCGGTCTTGGCCTCACTAGCCTCTCCCTTAACTCTTCAGCTCCAGTCTTCACTGCTAACAAGCAATTTATCTCTATATTATCTGATTCAAATTTCTGAGTGAGCTGTTTTGGTTTTTGGCACCAGGCCACCAAGTCCCTTCTCTTTCTCTGATAAAGCTATGATCAGTTGCCCTGTGGTTAGGTACCCTGCCAGAAGCTCCAGGACCAATAATTAACATTCTCTCAACTCCCAACTCAATATACTATTTGTATTTCCTTAGAACATTATAGAGATATGCTTTATACTGCTGAAATTATTTTGCAATACTTTTAAAAACAAGTCTTGCCAAGACTTGTTCACAGAAAAATCCTGCATACTTCTTCACTGAACCAGCTATACAATCCAAATATACAAGGAGTTAATCTCCTCCTATTTGTAGATGTGCACAGAAAGAATCCTCTAGATTGTTATAACCATTCAATGGCAGTGGTATAAAAAGCATTTTTACAAACTTTTTGCAAAATTTCCCATACATTTATAACGTAAAATGAAATAAGTAGTCCAGACATTTCCTTGTTAAACTCTATCCCATAATATCAAGTAACTTCAATATAAGGAAAAGTACATACAATAGCAATTTATCCCTAACCAACAAAACCTGTTTCTCTTCCTCCTAACACTACTAGGTAATGATTGAAGAAGGAAGGCCACTCACTGACAAGCTCCCATGTCAAGGAAAGAAGGGTGTATAGGCCGTGACACAGTCAGGTTCTTTTTTTTTTTTTTTAAGATTATTTATTTATTTTAGAGAGACAGCTCAAGTGCGTGCTGGGGGTAGGGGCAGAGGGACAGGAAAAGAGAATATCAAGCAGACTCCCCACCGAGCATGTAGCCCCACGCTGGGCTCGATCTCACCACCCCAAGATCATGACCTGAGCCAAAATCAGGAGTCAGACAACTAACCAACTGGCACCCCAATACAGTCAGATTCTCAATGTTATTAATCTCCTGCTTAAAAACTAGAAAAAAATCTAATTAAATCTCTGTTATATCTAGAGGGACATCACATTTGCACTAAGAACAAATTTAACTGAATGAGAGAACACTATACACATCTTTGAAAGAAGGCAATTTATTCACTAAAAAATTCTGGCTATGGGCGCCTGGGTGGCTCAGTTGGTTAAGCGTCTGCCTTTGACTCAGGTCATGATCCCAGAGTCCTGGGATCGAGTCCCACATCGGGCTCTCTGCTCATCAGGGAGTCGGCTTCTCCCTCTCACTCTCCCATTCTCTCAAACAAATAAATAAATCTTAAAAAAAAAATTCTGGCTATTCCAAGATTCAATGTTCACTGGAAAGAAATACTGTTAGAAGGGGATAAGGAGAAAACTTTCTGATAATGACCTTTCATAAGATCTGAAAGAAAAGAAACCTTTTTCAAATGCACGTTGTCCTTACATTTCTTGATATAAAGGAAGGATTTTCTATTTTAAAATCAGGTAGGTGTTCTAGTTAGCCAACCTGTTTATTAGCTATCCTCATTGGTGACTCATTTTAGTTTCATCTGTAGTAATGAGCAGCTAACTACATAATATCAAAACCAACAGGTTAGACTATTGTTAATAAACATATAATCTTAACAGATCTAATTTCAGGGGACAGAAATTGGTACAATTTAGAGAGTGCTGATGTTGTCTTTAAATGAGGCTTGAAATAAAGGCACTGTTAGAAAGCTTTCAATGAATAAAAAGCAATAAAGGGCAAGGGCTTGATTGTTTCATTCTTTAGCAAAAATTCACTGATTTTAAAAAGCAAAATGTTAACTTGAATGTCTTGGAGAAATTTTAGTCAGGCACTAAAAGGGTTATATGTCCTTTTTTATTCTCTTTTATAAAAATAATTGTAGCAATAAGCCAAGACAATATGACACCTACATTACTGAAGTATAACAGACTGATTTCTTTCCAAAGGAGAAGTTTATAATAATTTTAATTTACTAACTAGGCCTATTTACATTTATCAAACCAGCAAAAATGGGGGAGGGAACTAAATTTCTTCCTCTTCATAGTTAAAATCATTGGAAACTATCTAAATTTAATAAGACAAGAATTTACATTGTTTAAAGTCATAAATGTAAACCAGAGAACTGAAAATAATAGTTTAACTATCAAAAATTGAGATACACCAACCAGGAGAAAAGCAAGCAAAAGGTAGTATTCACCCAATTTCTCATCTTTGAGAGGATGGGATTAATAGGTACTATCTAAAGCTGAATCATGAAACAGAAGTATAACTTTTAAATAAAGGCAACCTCCAGAAGACCAGAAATAAACTGTCAACAGGATACCTCTGGAAGTTGGGACAATGGGATGGAAGACACTTATTTTATACCTCTGTACAATTTGCACATTCCTACCATGTGAGTATATTCATTTAATCCAGTTTTTTTAAATTGTCAATAATGAGACACCTCAAAAAAAAAAAAAAGAAAGAAACACCCACTATATATTTCATTCTCTGAGCCTTATAACTCATGGACTGTCAACTTTATAAAATGGAAAGTGAGGAGCTCCTGGGTAGCTCAGTCGGTTAAGTGTCTGCCTTGGGCTCAGGTCATGGTCCCAGGGTCCTGGGATTGAGCCCCAAGTCCACTCCCAGCTCAGTGGGGAGCCTGCTTCTCCCTCTCCCTCTGCTGTTCCCCCTGCTTGTGCTCCCTCACTCTCTGTCAAATAAATAAAATCTTATTTAAAAAAAAAAAGCCTGTATGACCAATGAATATTCTTAAAAAAAAAAAAAAAAGGAAAGTGAAATATCTCATCTATCAAATTAAAGGTAAGGTAAAGGAAGCAAAGCTTCTCTTTCCCCCACAGTCCAAAGTTCATAGCTGACCATATTCAAGTCAAAACAGTTCTTGTGACCACTACAAACTTTTAAAAAACATACACACACTTCTTGGTATTGTTTTAAAAAGAAGACCTCCTTGATCGATTTAAGCAAAAACACTGACACTGTCCAAAATAATTCTTGTAAACTACTGCTGAACACAGTCAAGCTAATAAACAAGAGGTCAGAGGCTACGTGGCAGCAAGCGAACTAGTAAGTCGTTACATAAATCGTTAACACATTTAGGCCTTCTATGTCCCTTGAAATCAAAACAAGAGAGGCGTTTTGAAAGTTTGCTATCTTCACTGATCCCCTCAGGAATGTAAAAGTATGCATTGCAGTTTCAACCTCCTAGTGCTTGAGTTTTTTTTAAGCAATTTACTTCTGCTTGGACAAATAGTAAGACAGGCCAAAGCCATTGGGTTTTCAGTTAACCCTTAGCTTCAAATTTTCATGTTCACACTAACATTTCACCTTTACTAATGCTACTAAATGTAATTATCCCATATTTCAGACCACAACTGAATTCAAGGGAAGGGGAATATTTCAGGTCACTGATTATAGAACATGATCTAATACAACAATATTAGGACTGGATTATTCCTGGTAAGCACAGGAGTTATAACTTGGGTAACAATATGAGTAAAGATCAGATTTTAAAACTATGCCTCCGTTCGTCCTCTTCTCTTCCTGCAGTGTTTCCCCCTATCAAATGGTCCTTGAAGCAACACTGACAAAGCATCATTCACAAATTTTTAATTTACACATATACTACTTAATCTTGGCGAAACATAAGTACCTAATGCACATCCCTAAAAACGGTTCAACTTTACTCTTAAATAATAACTCCTATGTCTAATACACAGGCAGCCTGACCATAGTCCAGATACACTTTGTGAACTCTTCTAGGCGAGGAAGGTAAACCTGACTTAGAAAACCAGAGGCTTTAGGCCTTCTGGTAATCAAAAGAGCCAGCAAACTAAAGTAGTACTGTCTTTTAAGCCCATAGCAAACTTAGTTCACTGAGGCATCACTCGGAATCAACTCTCAACCCCAAACACATCCAGACTTAATGACGTAAAGCCCTTGTAAATCTCTTAGTAGGCGAGTCTCTCTCGAACCCACCAGGTGGACCTGCTCTATTCCAAGACTCCTCCCTCGGACCCTAGGCTGGACCATCAGCCGCGCGACTCCCGGGCACCCTGCAACACACCTTGGGGTGCCCCAACGTAGCGCCCCATGCTCCTCCCCCGACCACCCCGACCGATCCCAAGTCCCTAGAGTCGCCTGCCCGGAGCAATTCGCCTATCACACCTCCAGCCCCTCACCCTCCCCTCCTCCAGTCCAAGTCGAGCGGGCCTTTCCTCTCCCCTCCCACCCCTTCTCTGAGACACTCACCCGCGATAGTAGGCTTTCACCCGGACCTGGTGAGAATGGTCCCCGCTGCCGCCGCCTGCGATCGGGTGAGACATGGTACTGCTGTCCCTCTGAGTCGGCATCTCCTTACTCCCCCGCCTCAACGCCGGAGGCCGAGGGTGCGGGGGGGGCGCCGGGCGCCGTGGGGGTCTTGGCTGCCCGAGCCTCTTCCAGAGCCGCGGCTGCCGCTTGCTTACCTGTCCACTCCGCCCGCGCCGCGGACCCAAGGGTCGCCTCGCCGGGGCAGCCGGAACCGCACGGCTCCTCCCGCCGCCCGGGCCCAGCACGCCTCCCCGCTTCGGTCCCTCCCACCTCGCTCGCTCCAAAGGCCCACATTCCGGGGGAGGGCGGGCGCAACCATCGATCCACCTCGAGGAGCCTTGCCGCCCGGCCGAACCATTCTTACGGGGGCTAGGAAAAGGGGGAGAGAGGATGGGAGACGCTGGCTCTCATATCAAATAGGCCGGGGAGAGGTTTTCCTGGGAGCTGTGACGAGAGAATGCCAAAGTTCTCCCTAAAAAGTCCCCTTTCTGCAGGGAAAACATTAGGGGACAAAGGCTGCGGCATCTCACCCCGGTTTCCTAACTTGGTCGCGTCCGCGGTCAGCCGACTAGGGACTGGGATAGATTTGCCCTGCCGGCTTTCTGGGATTTGGAGTCCCGATGGGATTCTGGGACTGGAGGTTCTTTACGTAGGAAACCATCCTCCCCTTCTAGCCGAGTGAGTCTGTCTCCAGCTTGCACGCCGCCGGGAGTGTTCGGCTTGGAAATCCTGAATGTAGCTTGGGCATCTGAGGTCACTGGAAATGACTGGGTTTCGTCACGATCTACAGTTTGTTGCCTGATGAATTCTCCCTTCCAATTGCATAAATCATCTCAATAATATAGTGCCTTTTTGGGAAACAAGACTGGTTACCGGCTCAGCACAAGCTCTTTTATGGAAAGAATTTAATAACATATGTAACAAATGTAATAACGTAATAAAGGAGGAAACTCAACTAGAAGGTATGATGAAAGACCGACATTTCTTTCTTTGCAGCCCCCATACCTAGGCCCTTGTATAGGGCCATCTCATGGCACAGGTGCACAGTATTTATCCAATCCATCCATCAGCATTTTTTTTCTATCACTGCCTTGCCAAAGATTACAGTATAAAGAATCCGACCTTGTAGCCTAGTCTCTGACCTTCCAGTGATCTTGGCTCTGTCACATACTGAAATTACAGGTAGCAGGAATCCAGCTTCTGTATCAGTCCTGGCACCAACGCATGCTAAAAAGGCTGGAATAATCAAGGAAATAACTTTACTATGATAAAATAGGGTTGATGGATTGACTCATCAGTTATGTCTGACGGTCTGACATGATGTCCTTCAACTGCTACAAACTTGGGTTATGAACACTTTTTTAAAAAGATTTGATGTATTTATTTGACAGAGAGAGAGAGCAGCACAAGCAGGGGGAGTAGCAGATGGAGAGGGAGAAGCAGGCTCTCGGCTGAGCAGCAGGGACATCTGGGAGGGGGGGTTGGATCCTAGGTCCCTGGGACCTGAAGGCAGATGCTTAACCAATTGAGCCACCCAGGTGCCCCTGGATTATAAACTTTTTTTTTTAAAGATTTTATTTATTTGAGAGAGAGAATGAGACAGAGAGAGAGAGCATGAGAGGGGGGAGGATCAGAGGGAGAAGCAGACTCCCTGCTAAGCAGGGAGTCCGATGCGAGACTCGATCCCGGGACTCCAGGATCATGACCTGAGCCAAAGGCAGTCGCTTAACCAACTGAGCCACCCAGGCGCCCCTGGATTATAAACTCTTAATAAAAATTCCTGTTGAAAGACCTGGTATCAGAGTATTGGGAATTGGGGACCGCATCAATATGTTAAATATGAATCAATTAGCTATGAAATATAAACTATTTCTGAAGTGAGATTGTGAAATTTTAATTGGATTAATAGAAAAGTTAGTATGCTGTGACAAATTTGAAAGATTATATAATGCTCTAAAAAAGGAAAATTTTTTTAAAAGATTTTATTTATTTACTTGACAATGAGAGAGCACAAGCGGGGGAGTGGTAGGCGGAGGGAAAGGGAGAGGCAGGCTCCCTGCTGAGCAGGGTACCCGATGTGGGACTCCATCAGAGGACCCTGGGATCATGACCTGAGCCGAAGGCAGTTGCTTAACCAACTGAATCACCCAGGTGCCTCTAGAAAAGGAAATGTATGTTATATGGGAAATGAGAATTTAAAAAGGTATGGCGTGAAAAGCTTTTTATTTTGGATTCTTAACAGTTTAAAAAATCCTTCATCATTGGCCTCAGCATGCTCTGAAGGTAATTACTATTTTCAGAGGAAGCTTATTGCTTACTTTTGTCATCAATATAATCTATAAATATAGATTATAATCTATAAATATAGAATCTATAAATAGTAAATATGTGTTTCCATGTCTTGGCTATTGTAAATAATGCTTCATGGGGGTGCAGATATCTTTTCAAGGTAGTGTTTTTGTTTTCTTTAGCTAAATAACCAGAACTGAGATTGCTGCATCTTATCATAGTTCTATTTTTAATTTTTTTAGGAACCTCCATTCTGTTTTCCATAGTGGCTGTGTCAATTTACATTCCCATCCTAATTTCATTTTTTGATTATTCATTGCCAGTGTATAGAAAATTAATTTTGTACATATCTTGTATCCTACGAGCTTGCTGAACTCATTTATTAGTTCTAATAGTGTTTTGGTGGATCCCTTGGAATTTCCTATACACCAGATTATGCCATTTTAGAATACAAATTGACTTACCTCTTTCCAATTTGGATGCCTTCTATTTCTTTTTCTTGCCTGAATGCATTATCTAGAACTTCTAGTACTTTGTTGGATAAAGAGGAGAGTGTGAACATTATTGTCTTGCTCTTAATTTCATGTGGCTGGTTTTCAGTCTTAAGCCATCAGATGTGATTACTCTAGATTTTTTTTTTTTTTTTTTTTTTTTGCAGACGTCCTTTGTCAGGTTGAGGAACTTCTATTCCTAGTTTGTTGACTATTTCTTTCTTTGTTTTTAAAGTAAGCTCTGTGCCCAACATGGGGTTTGAACTCAAGACACAGAGATCAAGAGTCGCACACTCTATCGACTGAGCCAGCAAGGGGCCAGATTATTTTTATTTTGAAAGAGTGTTGGGATTTGTTTAGCGCCTTTTCTCTATCTATTGAGATAATCCTGTGGTTTTGTCCTTTATTCTATTGATATGGTATGTCACAGTAACTGATTTTTGGATGTAAGCCAACCTTTCGTTCCTAGGACAAATCCCAACTGGTTATGACATATCCTTTTTATACATTGCTCCATTCAGTTTGCTATATTTTGTTGAGGAATTTCGAATCTGTACTCATAAGCATTGTTTCATTTAGCTCTTTGAACATAATTATGATAGCTGTTCTGAAGTCTTTGTCCTCTAAGTCCAACATCTGCATCCTCTCAAGGGCAGTTTCTGTGTGCATGGCCTGTTTGTATTTCTCACTATTTTTTTGTTGCAAGCTGTACATTTCCGCTGTAGCAACTCTGGAGACTGATCCAGACTGGCTCCCAGGTTTGTTGTCACTGTTGTTCACTTCTTTATTTGTTGAGTGACTTGGCCAGACTAGTTCAGGAAGTTTCTTTCCCCCACAGTGTGCAGGCTCTGATGTCTACCCAGTGCTTTGGCATGCGTGCTGACACCCTGACTCCTTCTCTCTCCCCTGGGGGATGACAGTGGTTTCAGTCAGGTTCTCTGACTTTTCCTTATCTCCCTATCCAGCTTTTGGCTGGTTTGCCTCTATTGATATTACTCCTAGCTTGGCCTCCACTAATTGGCAAATGATTGCCCCATGCTTCTCACAATGCCCTGGGCCATAAATGGCTCCACGGTCTGATCCAATGGTCATTTTTTATTTATAATTTTCACCAGTTATGGTTGTTTCACTGGGTAGAATATATGGGGAGATCCTCATGTTTCCATTCCATAAGTGCTCTGACATTAGTTTTTAAAGTCAATGGGGTGCAATTAAAACAGATGTAAGGCACAAAGAGTTATGCATATAGAATGATCAGGTCACAGAAATTATGTTATTTTCAGTACCCAAAAAAAAACCCTGAAAAGTATTGAGCCATCTCTTTAGTTTAAAGAAAAGAGGATTCTGTAAAAGGGCTTAAAAGGAACCTGGCATCACATTAATCATATCTTTTGGAAAATTCCACTTCCTTTCTATAGATTGAGCTGCTCTAACAAAAATAATCAGAAGAGGTTGACCTTTATATTCATTCTTAATGAGCCTCACCAGTGTGTCTTGTAATCAGGATCAAATATGAAAACTTGTTTGCCATGTTCTTTATGTCATCTAATAAATCCTGCTATGGTATTTCTGATGCCTCTTCCTCAATTGAGAATCAAATGGTACAAAATGTAAAGTCAGTGGTAGACACTGTGACCAAGTCTCCCACAGCCCATTTAATTTCTGTTGGTGCTGATTAATGGTGCTTACTAATACCCTCAGCTTTGGGTAAGCCTGCTGCCCTTAACCTAGCATTCTTCAGTGGTTACACTGAGCATGGGATAATGTCATTAAAAGGAGAAGAAAAGTGTTTAAATTGCAAGTCCAGATCATTTGCAGGGGGCCGGGGGGGGGTACTTTCTGACCTGCAGAGATAAACATTGAGCACTGGGCTGAATTAACCTGCCTTTGGCTCACTGCATTAACTTTAATAGGAAAAATTAATTAATGCGCAAATCCACAGGCTTAAGAGATTTAAAGTATTTTGGCTAACATTTTCTTATTTTGTGATCACAAGAATACTTGTCCCAATGTGGAGCAAAAATAACCTATTTGGAAAATGGCGAATGAGATAATAAATAGTAGACATGGGTCCCGTGTGATGGTGTCTTAATAGCACATTTTTGTACTTAACCTTCAAGAGCAGAAGTCATGACCAAAACTCCTGATTGGAGTCCTGACAGCTGAGGTTAGTGAGAGAGTTTAGTTTTTGTGTTAATTAACCTTGCTGATTTAGAATGGAGAATACCCTCATGACTCCTTCCCCCTTCTTCTATGCCCTCTCACTGCCCCACTGACGTGGCCTACTTTATCTCCAAGTTAACTGGAGTACTCCTTCACTCCAGCCTCACAAACTTATTCCCATTATGTTCTCCAATCTCACTCCCACACTACAGATGACATACAGCAGTTTTAGCCTTAACTTATTTAAAATGTCCTCACTTCGGGGCCCCTGGCTGGCTCAGTCGGTAGAGCCACGTGA